AACGAGGATGATCAGGAGTAGAGGAGGGGTTGCCTAGGCTTGAAGAAGTCGGCAAGTGTCGTAGAAGAGTTCAACCTAATGTTAGGAAGCGATATCCTAACTAGTCGTCTTGAGATAACTGGGCCACGTGCCAACAGTTATGTCGTCACTACCTCAGTAAGCGTACTGAAAGGTAGGTCTGGCCGGGCCAATGCCAACGGTCAAGTCAAGAGTCCAGGTAATCGCTGTATTCAACAGGAGGTTGAACTAAGGAATACATGGGTTTTCCTACAGTATATATAGTAACTGGTATAGGGGTTAATACCCAAAGAAGAGAACAATAAGAAAGGACGCGTAAGCCATCCTGTGAGAACGTAACTCAGAGAAATGAGAAATACAAGGGCGCCCATTGGTAGAAGGTGAGTCAAGGAAGATAACGTGTGAGAAGAAGATAGCGTCCATGGGAAGGTCTACTCGGAGAAAGGTACTGTCCAATAGCAATGCTCGGAATGGAAATGGAATGAGATAAGCATGGGAAAATCATAACAGACTCCATCGTGAAAAAATCCGGGGAGTCTATCATTTTGTCGTTGGCCGTCAGCAGAATGACCTTTTCCCTACGGTAGAGCACTTGTCGGGCATTGACATGGCCGGATGAGAGACGCATCGCTTGATCTCGTGCGAGGCTCAGCGGTCACCTGGGCACCGTCAAATACCAACACACAGCATCAACTGGGATCGCTCACCGTGAACAGCCTTGCGCATGTTGCCGCGAGGGCGCAATTACACGGCAATGATGATATTAGCCCTATGTGAAGGAAGGCACACCATCTGTCCAAGTTGAGTTGCATACTCGTATGCACTGGGTGTGCATCAGGAAAAAGGGGAAGGTCTGAAGGTCTAAATGTCCAGATGTGTTTTTGATTCTGTTCCTGTGTGCTGCGTCCCATCAGTTGACGGAAGACTGTGCATGACTGTGATGCTATACAAACGATTGCCCAGGCGGTTTCGGGGCAGTACAGGTCACTCTGTTCCTCACGGAATCTCGTGCTGTGAACGGTTCCGTCATGCAGGCTATGTCAACTTTGTCAAGCGCCCGAGAAGCTACAACACGTGTAGTCCTGGTGGAATACATATACAGAGCCCTACAGCGGTCTTATGCTCACGGAGGCTGCTGACAGGTTTCCCAGAGCTGCCATGTTTCAGCCTCCAGCACGAAAAAAGAAGCGCAAGCCCTTCATGGGCAGGTCGACAGCCACACTGGAGCACGCCCAGCTCGCCACCACTACTCTTGCGATCTTGGCTGACGACGCCTTGAGCGTGCCTGGGTTGAAGGCCGTCTGTGGCATCGCGAATCAGATCATCAGCCTAGCCCAGGTTCGTTCGCCGTGGATGTTATCCTTGGGGCTGCTGAAGTTCGAGACACCCCCGTACCTGCGGGTTGCCCACAGAATGCCCGAACGAACAAAGAAGAGTGTCAGATGCTAGCGCAAGGTACTCGTCAAGTCATAGAGGTGCTGTTGTCCGCTACGTCTGGATGTTCCGAGGACAGCGTGAGCCACAGGTTCAAGATAGGCGTTGAGCGACTGAGCGAGTGAGCCATGCCGTTGTCATCGTAGAGACAGTCTGATAGAGAGTGCTTGCTAGTGAGATGGAAGAGATCCGCAGATGCATGGTGGAGATCGGATCGCGCAGTCTGTTCAAGGGTATGATCAAGCTCGAGTCCGACCGCGCGAGGATAGGGGAATGTCGAGAGAAGCTGAGCCAAGCCCAGATGAAGTTTCTGGTATGTCACTCCCGCATCCCGCTTGTCATCCTGTTCTCAGATACTTGTCAGGTTTATGCGCAGATAGTACAACATACTGGGAGGCAGAGCGGAGATGTGAACCCTGTTCGACACGCCGGAGTCGACACAGGGTTTACAGATCCGCGTCTGTATGAACAGAATGGTGAAGAGCAAGAGAAGGCTGGAGAGTCCGCGGTGCAGAAGCCTACGGTAAGCACGATTCCGGATGGTGCCCGGCTCACTAGCCGCTGAACGATGCGGATACAGATTCTACAGGGGGACGGCCGAAAGTGAGTATTTACTCTCGTTTGTCCTCAGCCGCGCTGAACATGGCCTGCAATGTGTAGCTCCTGGTTCGCAGCGGAGATCTACGCGCCTGCAACTCAAGGCTGGCCCCGGGTCAAGATCGACGCACACATCGGCGTTGTCTGCATTTTTTTGTCATGAGCGGCAGGGATAGGACGCTCCCGCGCGGCGTCTGCACGGGAGTGAATTGTCTCTGGCAACGCCAGTGACGCTCGCTGTTCCAAGGGCACTGCGGTGCTGAGCACGAAGCAATATCGCGACGTGAGCGACACTCCGCTAACTCGTGATATTATACATATCCGGCCCACTATGTAGGAAGCCGCGAGGCCTTCTTCTACATTCAGCACACAACGAGTACACTTGCGAGTTGTGGTGCTTGCGGCATGGCTAATTCCAGATGCTGCAGTTGTTCCACGTGCCCGTGTGGCAAGGTGGATAACGTCGCTTTGTGCTAGACAGCTGTGCGAACTGGGGTCGAAGGTTGTCCACCGGGGTCGCACCCGGTGCCGTCGATAGGAGACGCTGTACATTGATTGGGATCGCTGTATGCAATTATTATTTGACATCTTGATTAGAGCCATCGTGGTCATCGTCGCTCCAGTGCTCGCTGTTGACTTGAGAGAAAGACGAATCCATAGGAGCCAAACCCTCGTGCGATCGTCGAGTGCGCGCGAGCCTATCAAAGCGCCCCCATCCTCTGATTGGCTATGAACGCCACGAGTATCGTGGGAACGCATGACATCCCTGCTCCCCCCACCACCACCTGCCAGTGCGTGTTTAGCCAGCGGCGAGCAGCTCCACCCCGACTTGGTCTTTCTGATCTTCTTCTGCTGGTGGTGATCATGTCAGGACGACCCTGGCCGGGATGAAACACGACGGAAGGCGGAAATTCTATGGGAAGTCTGGCTATGGATGCGGATGACGCGGGCTTCGATGGTGGTTTGCGATTCCCTGGGTTGGATGGAGTACGCAAGACGGGTCTTCTGGCGGGATGCAGATGCTGTCGTGAGCAATCGCCGGAACGAAAGGATGGGTACGTCTCCGCCCTCGACAGCCACCGACGCGAGCACTGCAAGTACGCTCGATACCGAGGCCAGTGCTCGCGCTCCCTCTCTCGGGTATACCCTCGGCAAGCGACGACCTGGAGCCTCGCGCCACCCATAATGAACTCACCTGTCAAGGCGCTCTGTTCCCGGTTAGCCAACGCGGCAGGCGTGTGCCTGAATATGGAGTGCCTGCTCTTCTCCCGAGCAGCGCTGGTTGCCATAGCGCGGGCATCGCTCGACTGGGATTGGACGCGAGCGGTTGACTGGAAGTTGGAGTAGGGGAAGCGAGTATGACGAGTACACCAGCGAGGCCCCAGGGCAGGTGGGCGACTCCAACCGCGTTACGGTATGCGCAGGGCGGAGAGCGACGACCCTGATTGGTGGAGACAGCGGGATCGACTCTCGAGGACACGGAGGACACGCCAGCGACCCGATCCGGAGCAGCGCCTTCCGGACACGGACGGAGGAGCGTTGGGTGTCAAGCCCGGGAGCGCCGATGGACAGGCGATGAGCTGCGCTGGAAGGCCCCGATGCGCCGAGGCCAGGGGGCTCGGGCGGGGCTCGGGGAGGACTGGACGGTGCTCGGCTCTGCGTCGAGCGTTGGCGCGCCTGCCTCCACGCACGGACAGATGACGTCCGCCCGTGCTTGGGTTATAATACCCAGCAGCCGGCCGCACGCGAGCAGACACACAATCCTCTCCGACGTTAGCATGACAGTGTCGGACGCGTCGACCCGACCGCCGTCGTCTTCTCGTCCTGATCCGCAGCAGCGCGATGCGCACCCCGGCGGCGATGGTACTAGTAGCGGTCCCGCGGCGTCCCATCCCACCCCCGCCGCTGCCCTGCCGCGCACGATGAGCACCGCCTCCGCTGCCTACCACGAGCCCGCGTGGTCCGACCCGCTCGACTTGCCGCCCGTCGCGCGCCCGCTCACGTCGTCGCTGCACCCCATCCCGCCGTCCTCGTCCCTCTCCACGCTCTCCCCCGTCTCCTCCGCCCCCGGCACGCCCGCCCCGCTCGACCGCATCCCCTCCTTCGAGCGCGAGTTCGTGAGTCCCGCGTCCCACCGCGTCTCCTCCTGCAGTGCTGACCCCGGCGACAGTGCACGAACTTTACGTGCTGCGGGCTCTCGCTCTCGGACCTGCACGAGCTCGTCGACCACTTCGAGGAGTCCCACGTCCTCGTCGCCCAGCGGTACCACCCCTACCCGCGCGTCCTCTCCTACCCCAACCCCAGCCCCGAGCCCGACTACCCGTCGGAGCGGGAAGCGTCAAAACCTCGCCCCGGGCTGGTAGTCAGCCACAGCTGCCCGCGCCCGTCGTCGCTATCCCCGCCGCCCCCCGCCGACTGCGGGTTCGCGTACGACCCCGACCCGTGCGCGATCCTCCAGCACCAGTACGACCGCCCGCCGCCATACCCGTATCTCCCCCCGTACCAGGACGGCGAGTGGTGGGACGCCTCCGCGGCAGAGCCCGGCGACGGTCCTAGCCGGGTGGGCCCCGACGTGTCCTTTGCGCCCTCCCAAGCCCAGGCCCAAGCCCGACGATCATCGGCGGACGAAGTCGGCCTGCCCCCCGGAGCGTTCACGGTCCCGCACGCCCCCTCCACCTCGCCTCTCCCCCACCCCACCACCACCACCGCCGCACAGAAACCCAAGAAATCCAGCGGCGCAAAGCTCGAGCGCCGACGCGAGCGCGCGAAGAGGGAGCGCGGCTTCCGCTGCCCGCAGCCCGGGTGCGTGAAGAGCTACCTCAACCCGAACGGGTTGAAGTACCACCTGGAGAAGGGGACGTGTGTGTTTGAGGGGGCCGGCGGGGTCGGGGTGGCGTGATTCAGACTCGAGGGTAAGGGGACCGGATGCGCAGAATGGATGGGCGGGAAAGTAGATCCGGATAGGGGTCGTAGGTTAGAAGTAATGTAATACCGTTATGGTGTATGTATTGTACTGGCATCAGGGACCGGGCGGGTAGGTGTATGCAGGGCATCTGCACAACCGCCGGGAACTTGAAGATTCGTGATTAGCGATGGACGGCGGTCAGTAGCACAGTGATAAGATAACCTAATGTAGCAACAGAACACCTCCTCCCGCCTCTGCTGAATCTGCGTCCCGTCCGACATCTCGCGCACCGGGTATAATAGTACAATAACTTGGACTGCCTTTCTTTCTTCCCTGTCCCTTCTCCCTTCCTTTTCCTTTCCTTGATCACTCCCCCGCCCCCGCCTCCTCCTCACCGTCCCCCGTCCCCCCGGTCCACTCGCGCTCCCACAGTGGAGGCGGCGCGGACGGCGGGTGCAGCGCCGGGTGCGAGGGCGGGAGCCGTGCGCGCGCGTGCTGCAGCCGCGTGAGCAGCGCGGAGCGTTCGTCCAGGAGGGCAGTGATGTAGTCGATTGCTGGGGTGGAGTGGGGTTAGCAGGCGGCCGCAGTGACGAGGAGGGTGGGCGGGTAACGGGAAGGGGGGGGGGCGGGGGTCGGATGATTACGATGGGCGGGGTGGTAGGGAAGCAGAAAACCACGGAGCGGATGGGGAGAAAGGGGCGCGTATACGAGCACAAGATGGGAACCGGCACTCACTCTTCTGCAGCACGATATTCTCGCTCCGCGGGCCCGCCCGCCCGTCTGCCCTCTCCGCCGCCTCCGCCTCCGCCTCCCTCCCCTCCCTCCCCTTGCCCCTCCTCCGCGCCTTGCCCTTCTCCCTCCTCTCCTCCGCCTCCTCCCGCGCGATGGCCGCGCGCAGCGCGGGCACGGCGTCGCACAGCGCCTCGTACCCGCGCCGGATGTTCGCGCGCCGCTTCTGCTCGCTCTGGATGTGGTTCGCCTTCTTCTGCGACGGCGTGAGCAGCGCGGGCTTCGGCGAGGGCGAGGCGCGCCGGCGTTTCGCGTTCGTGGATGTGGTCGTGGTGGTGGTGGTGGTGGTGCTGGAGGAGGTGCTGGAGGAGGTGCTAGGCCGTTTGGGCGGGCGGCGCGGGGCGGGCGGGCGGGATGCGGATGCGGATGCGGGCAGGGCGGAGGGCGCGGGCGCGGGGAGGGGGTGCAGCGTGTGCGGCGGCGCGGCCGACGACGAGTGCGCGCGGGCGGGCGGACGGGAGTGCACGTACCCGAACGAGTAGTGCGGCTCGTGCGCGTAGCTCGGCGCGTCCGTCGTCGCATGCCTGCTCGGCTGCTGCGGTTGTTGGTGTTGTTGTTGTTGTTGTTGTTGTGGCGGCGGCGGCGCGCGGTGGTCGAGCGCCATCAGGTCCTTCGTCGCCTTCGCCAGCGCCTCCCTCCCCGCGGGCACCTCGATGCCCGCCATCGCCGCGCCCCCTCCCCCCCCATGCGCACCGCCGCTCGCGTACATGTGCCATTCGGGCGCGAGCCCGTCGTCGACGGCGGCGAGGAAGCTCTGGAACGCGTGCGCCTCGCCCGCGGAGAGCAGCTGGGGGTCGGACGCCGCGGGCATGGCCAAGCTGCAGTGCGGGGTGATGCCAGCGCGGGCCTTCATGTGATTATTTCAGCCAGACCTGGGGTGGGAATGCGCGGCCGCCTTTTGAGTCCGGCGGTGGCGGTGCAGCCTGGGGTAGACGGGGTCAGGTGGGGGTCGTCGCCGGGGGAGGCTTGGGGACGGTCTTTCGTAGGCCCGACGACGGGCAGCGCGGCAGCGACCCTTGCAATGCGGGGGTGCGGAGTGTGCGTGAGGTTTCTGCCTCGGCGGCCTACAGCTGGGCAATGCTAAGTTCAACAACAAGCTGTCGGACGACGTCGCCAGGAGCCAATCATGATCTGAGCCCTCTGTTCAGCTGACGCGTGACATCTCGAGGTTGTAGATCTGCAATTGCAGCTTGTCTGCGCGAGGCTCTGAGGAGAACAACTTGGATCCATATCGTACCCAGCAGCAGCACGAGGGACGCTCTGCGCCGTGAACTATAAACTATGACAGAAGTCCAACTGAAATGAAAGTTAGAGACGTCTGTCTGGTTCGAGGACCAGGCCAAGTCAATCACCTCCTCTTCCATCTGCGGGCCCGGTTGCCCGACATTAGCCCGGATGATCGAGTCGGTATGAAAGCACGCCTTGCAGGTACATGTACGTGGATTTGATCAGATACAGTATGATCATACTTCCGAATTTGACCGATCTCCTTTACTGCACATTCTAGCTTTTGGCTCACGATATCGATACCAATCTCATCTGTCTTTTCCCATTGATTTGCCCATCCCGGTGCGGCGGCCGAATTCTCAGGCTTCTCGGACGCAGCCTCTGGCTTCCGTGCGGTACTCGCAGGTATGCAGTGCTTGCTGCCCGTAATGCCACAGGATGCACCTGCTGTTCGAATACAGGGAGGACCTAGAACCCGTAAGTTACTTCCTGTGAAATTTGAAAGAAAACGCTGCTAGCCGACCTGTAGTTTGCGCAGAGGCATACTCCCCGACGACCAGTGGCCAAGGATCGCACAAGGGCTCACGTTCCAGTACTTGCAGGAATGCAGCCGCACACAGTCCAAGCGGCATCTCTAGCTTTGACGTCTTTCGGTTCGGGATAGGTGATCGTGGTTAACCACTGCTTGGTGACTGTAAGTACATGGCTATGGCGTCTGCCCTCTGGTAGCGCGCCGATCGCCCAAGGACTCGATGGGTCTATATATGCTGCAGAGCTAGACCCTGAGCAAGACTAGCCCGAGCCACCGAACGTCACGTATGTTCGATTGCATGCATATGGGAGAAGTCAACGGGGACAGCTGTTGACATGGACATCAGGGGCTCTCGTGCGTTTCTGCACCTCAGTCTCTTGCCTCTGTGGCCCCTTTTACAAAGTCACATATCATGATCCGAGCGTGTGGTGAATAGGGAGTTCATCTAACGGTCCGCGAGCACCCGCAGGAACTCGTCCTGCATATAGTATGGTCCCGACTCCCATAATCTCTTACCTCCCTCCACGACGTACGTCCTTTCGAGGCCTCCGCAGGGGACCGTCTGACGTTCGATGACCTGGATCCCGACCTTCTGCGCAAATGCCGGCAGGTGAGGAAGCCCCATCGGCCTCCTAGTGAAGCCCGGGTGGATGAACTTTGACTGAGAACGCAAGTGTCCTGTGACCGGATTGCTATGTAGGTAGTACTCGTCATACATATAACAAGCGCTGCTCATATTCACGTAAGTAGGGTAGACGTAACTCAAGCTTATCTAGTTATCCGGCGATAGGCTCGGTGGGTGTTATAAGCTATCATCTATCATGTTTACCGGATGGAGACCATGCACCCCTTCGCCATCCTGTCCTCTGTGTGTTCTGCCGCGACCTCCATATTCACCTGCCTCGACGGCTCTCAGCAGGCTGATGTCACCGTTGATGCAGTTCACGACAATGTTCGATTCATTCAAGAGATCATCCATCCTCTCGCTACACGAAGGAGTCTCCCCCCAGGCCTTGTTCTATGCCTGCTTGATATTGGGGACAATTTATGCTCCATACACCAAGGCCTCACGGCGCTCAAAGGAGGGCAGGTGTCCGTTGCGACAATTCACGCGTTCTTCTTCCCGTCACGGGTTATAAGCAAGTTGAAGCGTGATAGTGACCTATTACTGCAGCGCGCTCTATTATTGAAGACTGCGTGTCAGGCTGAACACACTGACGCCCCTCCACCTCAGGCTGATATCGGCATCTTGGGTTCCGTCGGTAATCCAAATGTACGGCAATCCTGGTCTGATGTTTTTGGCAATGAGGTACGTTTCTACTGTGAACTCGTCCATATCTCTAAAGTGGGCACGTACTGAAGGATGCATATGCTGCACGAGCACGGTTCAGGCTGGCTCTGGATTCGCTGTTCAATCTCTCGGAAGAAGACTTCCATACCCTCTGGCTACGCCTCGACGAATTCCGGATCAATGTGGTAACACCAGCAACCTTGGAAAGATTTGGCGGTCAAAGTTTCTTGACAGATGCCGTACAGCGTATCCGCAGTGGTGAAGGTATGAGACATTGCGTTCGGACCGGATTGCGACATAATCGATACTGCAGCACCACCTGCTTCTAGTAATCACGTATATAAATGCTTGCTCTGGGTCGATGATAAACCAGAGAACAAAATAGAGGAAGTAATGTTCGCTCTCCAGCACCATATCCAAGTCCAGCGATTTACTTCGACCGCCGTCCTCAAGGACTGGCTTGAGCAACACCCAGGTAAGTATAGTATTAGATGCCGTGTGGTACCAGTTCTGACTGTGGCACGTCTCCAGAGATGCAGGATTTGGATAGGTCATCCAGTCTGCGTATCATTATCGATAATTCGAAACCGGAAAGTGGCGGGGCTAATGGTATCTTCACCTTCTCGGCCGGAGAGAACATCGTCCGCTACATGCGTGGCCGTCAGTATCAGGCACCCATCCTCGTCTACTGCGGATCCAGTATCCAAGGCACGGGGTACGTGCTCAGTTACGCAAACACGGGATCGACGACGGAACAATCCATCTGCCGGGCCTTCATCTCCGGACTACTTGCCCCAGGAAGCGACGAAAGAGTGTGGCAAGCATACAATGCGACACCCATGTCCATCCCCACTCTGCAATTGAACACTCGATCACCACTCCTGTTGCAGACGCGCTTGGCTCGCTTCGGCGACACCGACTCAACGTCGAGCTTCTTCACTGTCGGAAATGGCGGTGGATCCTTGCGGTCGTTCTATAACGGGAAAGAGGTTGATATGCGCATGAGCCACATTCGCGAAGCTATCCATCACGTTCGGGGAAATTGGCATCTTTATGCCGATTTTCTGTCCCGCTTGCGCGACTTGCTCTTGCAGCTCGGTGAACATGAAACCGTCTCTCCTATCTTGGACACTCTGCCCCGGTTCAAGCAGTGGTCTGACAGACGACGGGGCGGCGACCCCCCTGAGGATTATGGTCTCCTGCGGTTATACACCACTCCAGTGGGATATTTACATGCCTTCAAGATCATCAACGAAGTCTTCCGCACTCACGACATCGATAATGAGCGGCTGGTGTCTGCCGTCTTTTTCGTGGAGCTCTTGAATATAGAACTCTTCAAATACATCACCGAGCAGGGGATGAGGGATGTCGGGTTTACCGGGACTGTCCATCGAGGTCTGTGCCTTTCCACAGTGCAGCTCGACGCATTCTACCAGCTGGCCCGCATGCCCATCAGGGAGAGATTCTGGTCTATTCCCCTAGCAATCGTATCCTGCAGTATGGATGAAGACATCGCGGTAAAGTTCGCCCTCCAGCAGGCGACCGCTCATGGGACGGAGCATATGCACCCCGTCCTGTGGCGCATCCACGTCGCTAACCTAGACCCAGAGCTCCTCCGTGTTTATCATCAATACTACCCTATGAGCGTCGTGACAACAATGTGTGCAGTCCCCGACTCCCACGGTAGTTGGGAGGAGGGTTCTGTCGGGAAGAAATGGTCGCTCCACCATACAACTCGCTCTCGCCGTGAGAACCTCATGTAAGCAACGTCCCGACCGGACCGACGCCACTTTCGTTTTGAC